ATTTTTTTTTTTTTTTTTTTTTTTTTTTTTTTTTTTTTTTTTGTACAATTTTGCATTGTATTAAATGATTTCCTTTTAAACAGGATTTATTTTCTTTAAAATTCAAGCATACATCCTTCTTGTGGCATAAAATTTGATAATCATATATTTTTTTTTTTTTAACAGATTCACATAATTCTCTATATTTTACAGTACTATTTTTTATACACATATTTTGAAATGACCATATATTCTTATTATCATGGCAAAATTCTATTAAGTTGCATTTCATGCATTTATTATTTATTTTGTCTAATTTAAAACCTTAGAATAAAGAATAAAATTATTTCAATCCATTTTTATTTTTTAGTCTACAAATTTTATTATTTGTAATTTGTTTTATTGTATTTTTATTTTTTTTTTTTTTTTATTTTTAAACCTTTATTACAAATACAGTCTAAAATAGATTTTGATTCCATTTCATTTGTGCCTATATACATATATATATATGTAATGTATGTAGATAGTTATTTTGTATTTTTAGTTATTTTAGTTCATATTAGTTTTTATTTATTCTATATTTTTACTTGATCCTTTAGGACAATTCTGACAAATAAGAGATCCCATTTTATCAGTAAAAGTACCAAGAGGACAAGGAAAACATTGTTTGTTTACTCTTGAAAAATTATAAAAACCTATTTTACATTTTTCACATTTATAATCCTTTATTTTAATAATTAAAATATGTATAAATAAATTTTTATATATATATATGATTTTTATTTAAGCCTTATTATTTTTTTTTTTTTTTTTATACATATGTAAGCATTTCCCCTGCATTGCACTTTAAAAAAAAAAAAAAAAAAAAAAGAATTTCGAATTTGGAATTAAATTAATACACATTCTATTCTATTAAAAATATTCTTAATAATTCTCGAAGAAAACTATAATTTTTTTTAAGTTTTTTTTTTTTTTTTTTAATTTTACCACAGTATCCAATAATCTAAATTTTTTTACATTGGATATCTTATTAAATGAATGATCTAGATAAACAATACTTATCATTAAGGGATAAATTAATGATATAAAAAATATTATCTTATTTGTGGTAAACATTATTATATTAAAAGTTAATTTTTTATTTTAAAAAATAAAAGAGAACAATCAATTTTAATAAAATCAAATGATATATTTGAAAAGATTTTTTCTATTCCACATATATATTAAGAATAACTTTATCTCTTATAATTATTAAAAAAATAAATATATGAAGATATAAAAGTAGAACAAGTGCATGTTTTAATTTTTTTTTTTTTTTTTTTTTTTTTTTTGTATGCAATCAAGGTATTACAACTTTGAACAAATGATAAGAAATAATTCTACTTTTCAATATACAACTATTAAATGATATTAACAATATATATTATTATATTTAAGCAAATGTATAAACATAGAAAAAAAAAAAAAAAATTTTTTTTCTTTTTTAATTAAAAATACGAATTTTTGTTTATTAAAATATGTGTATTGTAAAATTTAATTGTGTATATGGAGAATTAATCATATTTCACAATATTTGTTAAAAAAAAAACTAGAACAAAAAAAAAAAAAAAGAAATAAAAATATAAATCCAAAAAAAAAAAAAAAAAATAAAATAAAAATAAATATAGGAAAACATAATGTCTATAATGATGATATTGCTTTTATATTTTAAATTGTTTTTACTGTATTATTATCTATATATTATTGTCATATATGTTTTTTAATTTGCTTTATTTAAAATTCATCATAATTATAATTTTTTTTTCTTTTTTTTTTTTTTATTAAAATTTCACATTTTATTTACTGTAGTTATATATGTTATAAGATATATATATATACTTATATAATTGTAATATTTAGTCTTTAAGAATTTTCTTTTTTTTTTAAATGAAAAATAATTATTTATCTGGATAGTAAAATGGATAATTAGATGGTAAATTATCAAAATATTCTGATGGTAATTTATAAGATATTTTATGTCCTTCAAAAGATCTTGTAAAACCTACAATAGGCATATATTTGTAGCATACTTGTAAATGAATTAGATTATTTCTTAATCCGTTAGAATAATCTTTTAATGAATATTTAGTTATAAAATTTTTATAATTTTTTTTTGTATTTTTTTTTTTTTTTGTAATTATGTAATCCTGTATTATAACTTCATTTCTAACCTTTTTAGGGGTTTCATAGGTTACTAACACATAAACAAATAATTGTTTTAGATTCCAATTAAATGCTTTTCTCATATCATATGATAAGTCTAACGATAAAACTACTTCATCTCCTTTTATATATCTGTTATATATGAATCTTTTTACATTATTTACTTTTATGTGAGTTTTTATCTCTTTTTCATCAAACAAATAAAATGATGTCCCATAATTAAAAAGGCATAAGATAAAAAAACAGAGAGCCATAGAATAAAAAATAACATTTAATCTATTTAAAAAAGAATCCATTTTTAAAAGAAAAAAAAAAAAAAAAAAAGAGAAAAAAAAATTATAATTTTAGGTTTATTTTATACAAATATTATAAAAAATGTAACAATTTCGTTAAGAAATAATATACCATATAAGCAAATATCATCTAAAATATATATAAAGAAAAAAATAAAATATAAAAAATTACGTAAATATTAACACATAATGGTATAAACAAAATATCTTTATTATGTTTATAAAAAAGGTTATTTCAATTTAATGTATATAGTAAATGTGTTCTTATAAATAATAAGATATTAAAATACTTATTAATTATATTATGTATTTAATATTTATATTGTTTTTATTAAAGATAAAACACATGCATACATAAACATATTTTGTTCTTTTATTTTGTATACATATGCAAATTTTCAATATTTATAATTATGCTCATATATATTATTTTTTTAAATATTAAAATTATTATTTTATATATATATATATATATATATATATATATATATATATATATATATATATATATATATATATATATATATATATATATATATATATA